AGGGGGGGCGGCCTGGCTTCCCCGGCTGGCTGGAGTCGGCGTGGGGTAGAAGGCCGAGTGCGGGGCTGTGATCAGGGTGTGTGTGTGTGTGTGTGGCTCAGTGGGAAGAGCCTCAGCACGGCGTGCAGAAGGTCCCCGGTTCAATCCCCAGTTCAATTCCCAGTGGCATCTCCAGTTTAATCCCCAGCGGCATCTCCAGTTTAAACGGTCAGGCAGGAGGTGCTGGGAAAGGCCTTTCTCTGCCTGAGATCCCGGGGAGCGGCTGCCAGCCCGAGTAGACAAGACTGACCTGGATGGACCAAGCGGGGTCTGATTCAGCATAAGGCGGCTTCCTGGATGCACGCGTGATGTGGAGGAACCCGGTGCGAGTCCCTGGTCTGGCCCTGCAGGCTTGCTGGCGAATCCTGGGCCAGTCGTTCCCTCGGCCGAACCTACCTCACAAGACAGTTGTGAGGACAAAATGGAGGAGGAGGAGGAGGAGAGGGGGAGAAGGTTACAAGCCACTTTGAGGCCTTACTGGGGGGAGGGAGAGAGAGAGATCATGCGGACGTCCAAAGAGAGGGATGAGTGCAGAAGGGACCCGCTCCTGAGCGTGGGCCCACAGAGGAGATCTTCCCACCTGCACCTCTTTCGAGAGCAGCTCGGGGGGTGGAGGTGGAAGAGTCCTATGTCCACTGGGGGGGGGGTCGGTTCCACTGTGGGACCAGGGCCACTGGGAGAGGCGTGCTTGAATCCCCGCTTGCAGGGTGACCTTGGGACAGTCACGTACTCCCCGACTCACACTCGCAGGGCTGTTGGCTTTGGGTCCTCGCTGGGGAGGAAGGCGGGATCTGATTTAAGCAGCCAAGTCCCCTGGAAGCGCCCGAGTAGCCCTGCTGGGAGAAGCCCTCTCCTGTGGTGCCGGGGTGGTGCCGCTTCTTCGTGAGGATTCTGGGCCGAGGAGGAGGAGGCACGGGGGGGGGGGGGGGAGCGAGGCGTGGCCATCGGCCAGTTCTCCAAGCAGCAGGTTGGTCGCCTGTGGAGAGTCCAAAACCTCTGCCAGGTGACTAGGCGGAGGTGGTTGGTGAGCCCTCCTTCCTCTCTGCGGACAGGAAGGGGCCTTATCTGCTCTCTCTCAAGGGCCGTCTGCTGGGCTAGCAGGGCCCAGCCTTCCTCCGCCAGCCCCAGGGGCCGCAGGAGTTGAAGGGGGGGCACCCTCTTGCTTCCCAGCATCCCCCAGAGCAGCAGGTTGAGAACACCAAGGCCCAGAAGTGCATGACCGTTAAAGGGCTAGGACCGTGGTGGTGGCGGCGGGGCGGGGGGGGGGGGCTGGATCTGAGCCCCCCGCTTGCTGAATGCCTGGCCCAGCGTCACTCTCTCAGCCAAGTCTACCTCGCAGGGTGGTTGTAACCAACGCTCCCTCTAAGCTGTCGAGTCCTGTGAGCAAAGATTCTACTCTGTGAGCTACCGGCATTAAAGTTGTGAGCAAGTGATTGGGCTGCTGCATCAATTAGTTTGCTCTGGAGCCCTCCTTCCTGAGCCGAGACAAAAATCTGTGAGCCGGAGGCTAAAAAACTGTGAGCTGGCTCACCCTCACTCGGCTTAGAGGGAACACTGGTTGAGCGGAGGGCAGCGGGTGGTCCTGGGAAGAGCTGCCCTGGGGCGTGCCTGGGAGGGAGGAAGGCGTGCCAGTGCCACCAGAGAGCCTCCGCTCCTCTCACAGCTCCTCCGGTTCAGGGGTAGACTGTGCCTGAGCCTGGAGGCTCCACGGGTCTCCTGTGGTGGATAGCCCTCCCCAGCTCTCCCTCCCCATGAATCTGCCCCATCCTTTTATTATTGAGGTGGCCCGACCTTTAGGGTCTGTTGCTGCGTCCCGGGAGGGTGGCGATCCTTGGGCGTGACACAGAGCAGGGCTCCTCTAGGGCCACTGTGGATCGCCTGCCGACCTCTTCTGCCGGGGGGTGTCCTGGTTGAGGAGGGAAGAATTGCCGCTCTGACCAGATCCCCCAAAGGCACTGCTGAGTCATCCCTCAAGGGGTGGGGGTGCTTCCTGTGGGGAAGGGCGGTTGCCTGGATCGGTCCCCAAGGCCAGGCCGGGCAGGCGGAGACCTCTCTGGCCACCCCGACTTCTTTTGTCTTTCAGCAAACACAAAGGCCTCCCTGTGCCTGGAGGAGTGGGACGACACGCTGCTGAAGGTAAAGGAGGGCATCTCCTTCCGGGCTCCCTTCCTCTCGCGTCGCCTCAGTTCTTCGGACGCCCGTCCTGAAAATAGGGGCTGTGGCCATGGGTACACGCCCCACCCTTTTTACACTGGACATAGAGGCAAAAAAGGCCGTTGCGTTTCTCTTCCCTCTCCCCATCTTCCTTTATGAGAGCCAGTTTGGTGTCGTAGTTGAGTGCGCGGACTCTAACTCTGGGATGAACCGGGTTTGATTCCCCACTCCTCCACTTGCACCTGGCTGGATGACCCTGGGCAAGCCGTAGTTCTGATAAGAGCTGTCCTTGAAAAAGAGCCGTTTCTGTCAAGAGCTCTCTCAGCCCCACCTGCCTCACAGGGTATCTGTCTGTTGTGGGGAGGGGAGGGGAAAAGGAGTCTGTAAGCCGCTCTGACTCCTTTGGGTAGTGAAGGGCCATGGGGCATGAATCCAATATCTTCTTCTTCTGTTATTCTTATTCCTTGGCCACCCCGAGGCCCAGCTGCCTCCTCTCCGGCTGGTTTCCTGCTCTCGATAGGTTTAAAGGAATGCTTATTGTTTTGTCTTGCTGCTCTTAGCAGTCCTCTCTCCAGATTCTGCTTTTGCTCACCTTACTGTCAACGTGCGTTCCTTTTGCCGGAACCTGTGCCCTGCTCACCTCGGCTGGGGCCACCTTTAACTTTGAAAAAGAAACCCTTTTTATCTTCTGTGGCTCCTTAGATTTGGGTCATTCATTAACCACACTGGCATTCTTTTAGGCTTGGGGGTGCGTTTCCTAACCCGGGAGACCCATTCTAGCCATGTGCTTCTGCCCACAGTTCCTTCAGCAGACCCTGGCGACCGTTTCGGACTCCTCTTGGACGTGTCAGCTGATCTTGGAAATGTGCCGGCAGCTGAGCAGCTACAACGGCTCCTTTGCGGAGAAGGTCTCTTGCCGGGACTGAGAGCCGACTTGGCTCTGTGGGGTGGGGGCGGGGGAGGGCGCTGGTCAGCCAGGAGGGAGAGTTGGGGCTGGCCGGGCTGCTGGTGCGGCCTGACTTGTACGGCACGGCAGGGGTGGGGGTCAGATGAGCCCCCCCTCCCAGCTGTGGCTACTTGGGGCAAGAGAAGGCAGACGGCTTCACCAGTTGAACTTCCAGACGCTGAATGTGGAAGGAGTGAGCAGAGAGCTGCACTTTGCTTCCTGGAGATACGTTACAGCTTCCCTGCCCTGAGTGCTCACAGGTAGAAGCTGCTGGGCACTGGGTGCTTAACCTTGGAGCTTGAAGGGAGGCTTGCTTTCTCGGGGTGGGAGGGTCTTTGTGCCAGTGAATTGGCAGCAGCTGATGGCCAGGTTGCGGGGCAGCTGTAGAGGGGTGTCTGCTGGGGACCTATGGAAGGTGCTGGGGGGCACAGAGGGAGGTGCAAACAGGCACCCCCCACAGTCCTGCCCCCCCACGGTGAGTGATGCAGCGGGCAGGTTCTGCGCACTGCAGGGTGGCTGTTGCGGGCAGCTGCCCCAGGTCTGCCCTGGCGTGTTCTCCTTTAAGCAACCACAGCAGCTCGCAAGAAAGAAGAGGCTCCCCATTGCAAAACCCACATCTAGGGAGATCCAGGGCCGCCAGGCTGCTCCGTGCCGGTCCTGCTGGGCGAGGCCTTCAGGCTCCCGGGCCCAGCGCTTTGGCCGCTGCCTGTCCGCATTGCAATCAGCAGAGATGTTTAATGGGATCATTTCCATCAATGCCGCTTATTAGCGCAGGAGGAGTCAAAGCAGTTGGCAGAGGAAGGGCGGTGGGTGCCGCGATCCGGCCTCTGTGGGTTCTGGAGCTGTTGCTGTTTGTGCACGCAGAACTTCCTGTACAAATGTGTCGGGACTGCCTTGGCTGCGTGTGCAAACAGGGATCGGGTGCGGAAGGTGCTTCAGGAGCTCCTGGAAACTGCCAGATACCAGGAGGAGGCCGAGCGGGAGGTGAGGAGTCACGGGGGGTGGGTGGGTTGCATGTGGGTGGTTGGAGGTCTGGGGTCTCCAACCCTCTCGAGACTCCCTGCCACATGCTTGCGTGGAACTTGGAGCCTGGTATCTTTTTTGTTTTATGTTAACAATTTTTTAAATAGTAGCAACATTGATATCGATGCAGTATGTTTGCGGTATTTATTTATTTATTTAATTGCATTTATATCCCGCCCTCCCCGCATACATTAACTCAACCCAGAATAAACAAATCAACCAGTCTTAACTTCAAATACAGAATTCAAAAATAAATCATTTTTTTATATTGTGGATTGTCTGGAATAATTTCTTTTTCCAGCTCAGAACTTATAACAGGATACCATATAGCAACCACTTTTTTGGTACTTTTCTGGTGAAGCATTAGTTAAGTGAAACAAAATTTTATGCATTATAAAGTGCTCCCATATTCGATGATACCACTGAGAAAGCGACAGAGCCTGGTGTCTGATGTCCCCCGTGCTGGGTTCTGGGAGCTGCTCAGCCCCACAAAGGTGGGGGGGGGCACAGGGACTGGTACGCGAGGGCAGCCGGGCAGCCACTGAGCCGTCCGTGGCCTTCCCTCTGCGTCTCCTTGCAGCGAATCCTTTCCTTGCAGGGACTGGCCTGCTGTTTGGGCCTGTGTGCCGTCACCTACCTGGACGAGACCCTGGCCACGCTGGAGGTGTTTGTGAAGTCGGATGTCTTCCGGAAGTCCACGGGCCTCTTCAGTATCTTCAAGGTGGGGTGACCCTGGGGGATTTCTGCGGGGCCCTCAGCAGAACCTCTCCTCTCTGGAGCTGGTGGGCAGTGCTCCCTCTAAGCTGTGGAGAATATTTTGAGCAAAAATTCAGCTTTGTGAGCTCCTGGCATTAAAGTTGTGAGCGAGCGATCTGGCTCCTGCATAAATGAGTTGGCTCTGGAACCCCATCCTTCCTGAACAAAGACGAAAATCTGTGAGCTGGAGGCTAAAAAACTGTGAGCTAGCTCACACTAACTCAGCTTAGAGGGAACACTGCTGGTGGGTCTCTCCCCTGGGTCTGAGGCCGGGCCCCCTCCCTGGAAGGAGCCAAATGGGGGGAGGAGAAGAAAAGGAAGAGATTGGATTTATGCCCCGCCCTTCACTACCCAAAAGAGTCTCAGAGCGGCTTCCAAACTCCTTTCCCTTTCCCTCCCCACAACAGACACCCTGTGAGGTAGGCGGGGCTGAGAGAGCTCTTTCAAGGAATGTCCTTGAGATAACAGCTCTGACAGAACTATGGCTTGCCCAAGGCCATCCAGCAGGTGCAAGTGGAGGAGTGGGGACTCAAACCCGGTTCTCCCAGATTAGAGTCCTCGCACTTAACCACGACACCAGACTGGCTCTTTGGGAGGATGGGGAGTGAGCCCTTCCGCCGTCTCCTGCTTTGCTCAGGATCGCAGCGACAACGAAGTGGAGAAGGTGAAGAGCACCCTCATCCTGTGCTACGGCTACGTGGCCCGGTACGCCCCCCACGAGCTGGTGCTGGCCCGGATAGACGCCGACATTCTCCGGAACATCTTCCTCTACTTCAACACCAAGGTGAAGCTGGGAAAGGCGGGCTGGGTCTGGGAGTCACTCCGGACCACCGACTGAGCTGTGGGTTGGTGCCGCTGGGCGGGGGGCGTCTTGAGGCGGCCCTCTCCATTCCAGGATTGTTAACGCCTGTCTCCTTTCGTTTTGTTCAGGTTCTGGGCATAAAGGTAGAGACGAAGGTACAGCACTAGGGCCCTCCACTCGCACTCTGCTCTCTCCCTCTTGGCCTGCTGTCCTCTTCTCTGTCTCTGCGGGAGGGGGGCAGAGCTCTGGGAGGGAGCAGTGGCGGACCCCAGGGGGCGGGGCGGGGAAGGCAGCGGGGAGCTCAACTGCCTGTCTCTGGCCGTGTATCCCCCCCCCCACCACCACCCTAGAGGCATGGAGCAGGACTGGCGTTTTAGCACAGAGAGACCAGAATAGACCCCCGGCCAATTCTACTTAAAGGGGAGGGGAAGAGGGGTTGTGGGGACTGGCGCTCGGAAGACCCTAACCCACCTTCTGAAGCACCCCACTCCCCTCTCTGCTCTTCCCCTGAAGTAGAATGGCCGTGACTCTCTGAGAGGGGCTCCTATTGAAATGGGAGCCTTTTAGGTGCCTCTAGCTCTGGTGGGGGGGTGTGTGTGTGGGATTTGACCCCGAGGCTCCAGGGCTTTAGGTTAACAGAAGGCAGTGCCACGTGTTGGGGGTGGTGGGGGTGGAGGAGGGGGGGTCTCAAAGGCGTTGAGGAAGGTTCCGGCTGTGATGCATTCCCTTAAGAAAACAGCTGCTCTGTGAGGAAGCGGAAAGCTGTGCTGTGACCAATGCGCCCTCTAAACTGTGGAGTCTTGTGAGCAAAAATCCTACTTTGTGAGCTGCTGGGATTAAAGTTTGAGCGAGTGATTTGGCTGCTGCATAAATTAGCTTGCTCGGGAGCCATCCCTTCCTGAGTGAAGACAAAAACGTGTGAGCCGGAGGCTAAAAAACTGTGAGCTAGCTCACACTAAGTCAGCTTAGAGGGAACACTGGCTGTGACTCGCCCGTGGGGGCACGGCAGTGGGGTCGGGGGGGCCCTGTTGCTGTGCCGCCAGGCGGATGGACCGGGCACGTACCCTGGGCCTCCTCGCAAGGGTGTGGGGTGCAGCCTCTACCTAGGCCCGCTTTGAAGCACCCTTGACTTCCTCAACGACTTGTCACGGGATTTTCGGACTGTGAGCTCCCCAGTCAAAGTTCCCTCGGTTGGCCGGCTGTTTGCCCTTCAGGGATCTGCCCTTCCAGGGAACTCTGACTCTGGAGAGCTCCGGCCCCGAAGACCTTGTGGGTCTCCAAGGTGTCGCTGGGCTCAAGTCTCGTTGCCCGGAGCGGACGGAGCCCTCCAGACCGAGCCCAGCCGGGTGGAAGTGTTCCCGCAGGCCGGAGCAGAGGAGGGGAGGGGGGGGCGAACTCCTGCTGGCCCGGCCGGGGCCTCGCGGGGGGTTCCAGGGTGAGCTGCTGGGTGCCCAGGGGCTGCAGGCCGCGTGGGCCAGGGCTTCCGGCAGTGCTTGGCCAGGAAAGGGCGCATCCTCCCCAAAGGAGGGACTGGGTGCGGGTGTGTGGGTGTGTGTGTGACTCCTCAGGTGGCCTCACGATCCGAGGGGAGGGCGCGGCAGGGCTGTCGGGGAGCAGAGAGGGCCTTCCGATTCTACTAACTCCTCTTTCTTCTGGGCTGTGGCTGGCACTAACGACTGGGGGGGGGATTTCGGGGGGGGATTTTCTTCACATGCCGATGGGAAAGCCAAGTGTGTGTGGGGGGAGCTCTTCTCTCTGTGGGTCCTCCGGTGGCCCTTTGAGCTGTGACCCCCAAGGAGGGGGGGCCCCGTAGGGCATCCAGCCTTGCTCTGGGAGCGTCGGAAAGGGGCCGTGCCCGTGAGCGGAGGGTCTGGGAGCAGTGCCCCTCTCGGGGGCCAGGACTCTCTCCTGTTCCAGGCCAGGATCTGGCCTCTCGCCTGGCGGGCCAAAGGGACAGGCTCTGTGTCGGGGGCCAGTCCGGACCAGGGGTCTCCGGCACCCCGCGTGGCCTCATCCCTGCAGGCGAGAGGCTGTCTTGGCCGGGAGGGCCGGCGGGCTCTTCTGGTTGGCGTGAGTGGGCTCCCCCTCCCCCCCCCTCCGCAGGACCTGTCGCTGAAGCTGTGCCTCATCCAGAGCATCTGCATGGTCTGCCAGGCGATCTGCAACAGCGCCCAGTCCGGGGACTTCACCTTCTCCCACAAGGCTGAGCTGGTGGCGCAGATGATGGTAAGGACCGGCTGGCACCTGCCGGCCTGGGATGGCACACCCGCCGGCAGCCTCCTTGCCTGAGTCAGGCAGCGCTCGACAGACAGCCCCAGGGGAGGAGGGGCTTCCGCTCCCGGTCTGTCCCCCGCTCTGAGAAGGGGGAATGGGAGCAGCTCTCTAAGCCTGCACGGAGCGGGCACCCGAGGCAGCCGCTTCCAGCCAAGGAAGGCCAGGAAAAGGCATCTGGACCACACGGCCCACCCACTGGTTGGACTGCTGACCCACCCCTGCTTGCTTGCTTGCTTGCTTGCTTGCTCAGCAGCAGCAGCCTTGGAACTGGCCTCTCTTTGGCCAGTGCCGTGGGGAGGAGAGTCTCTACCTTTGCCTGGCAGGTTGGGTTCCTGGCCGTGGCCCGTGGCCCGTGGCTGCTGGGCATGAGTCCTGCGTGGCCGTCTCCTTCTCTCCCTCTCCGGCCTTTACACTGAGGGCTGTGCCAGCCCAGTCCCTCACGCAGGAGGGGCACTGCCCCGGAGTGGCCCGGAGAGGCTCTTAGGCGGGTCTCCTTCTCTTGCCCAGGACTTCATCAAGGCGGAAGCTCCCGACTCCTTGAGGACTCCCGTCCGCCAGAGAGCCATGGCTACCTGCGTGTACCTGGTGTATCCTTTCCCTCTTCGGCATGGCCGGCCTCAAGGGCAAGAGCGAGAGAGGCCCCTGGTGGGCCGGGGGTTCAGTTGCAGACGTTTCCCTTCCTACGGATTTGTGGAGGTCCCGGTCCCCCCTCTGTGAGTGGCTGGCTTGGCCGTTTCTGCCCGCCCCCTTGGATATGAGGCAGACTGATGGGGGGCCAGTCTGCTCTTAAAGCCATTCGCCCCTTGGCCTCCCCCCCCCCCGTCCCGAGCTCTGCAGGGGGATCCGTGTGTGAAAGGGCGGAGTGGGGAGGGGGGGGGATGCCAAGTGCGGACTGGAGAGAGCCACACTGGAAATCCTTGCTCAGCCTTCACGGTTGCTCTGCAGCGTGGTGGGGGTGGAAGGGAAGAGTCTCGCGTGCCCCTCCAGCGCCCAGCGGAGAGGAGGGTGGCGGGTGAAGGCAGGAGGCCTCCCTCCTCCTGCCGGCGGCATCCCCCAGCTGTGGCCGGTTCCTTGACTTTCCGTGTGCAGCTTCCTGGAGCCCCCCCTGAGTGATGCGGAGACGGCCGAGCTGCTGGACACCTGCCTGGGCAGCGTGCTCGCCCTCCCTGAGGCAGAAGCCCTGAGGGAGAAGGACAGGCCGGGCCCAGAGGCCAGGCCGAAGGAGGTACGGAGCGGGGCTGTGGCTGGCGGGGAGGAAGGGCCCCCTCTGGCCGGCAGCCTCCAGGGGGCCCCCACCCCCACCCTGAAGCGGCCCAGGCGTCCACACTCTGCTTCCTGCGGTGCGCTGCCAGGCTGCAGATCCTTGGCTCTTGGGTCCAGTCCCCTTGTCGCAGAGCCGCCTGGGAATGTCTCAAGGGGCTTCTCCTCAGATAACCACACGCACCCCGCCAAATTGGTAGCCGTTTGCAGGCCTGAGCTGTAGAAAGGAGATCGGTGCTGCCAGGCCACATTCTGGCTATCTAAGCCCCCCCCCCCCCCCGTGCATGAGGTACTCCCGAGCCAGTGGGCGGCTGCCAAGAGGGGCACCGTGGGGGGGACGGCAGTGTGGTTCCTCCCTGGGAGCGTTGGCTTGCTGGCCATCTCGGGCTGCCCTGGGGGCTTTGACTTGGGGGCTTCAGGAAAAAAATGGAAAAAAACATTTTTTTCCTGAATTTTTCCGCCCCCCCCCCCGGGCCTTCACATCTCTCCTGTGCTGCCCGGATGCCCTCCTGTTGAGCCCCAGCCCGGCCCTGGGGGGAGGAGGGGGCCTGGCTCCCCCAGCGGTGGTGTGGCCGTCTTAGCCTCTTGCAGCAAGATCTCCCCGGTGTCTTGTAAGGACTTCCGCGAAGACCCGAAGCAGCCTTTGCTTGGCCGCGGCTTCTTCCCGGGTGGGGGGGGCTTCCTCGCCCCTCCAGGTCGGGGAAGTGGTCGCCTGGGAGGGAAGGCGTTTTATTCCAGCCAGGAGCCCGCACCGCTGGGCAGGGGGAGGAAGAGCCAGTCACACATTCCTTCCCCCCTCTCTGCTGCACGCCTTCAGCGTCTCCTCCTTCCCTTCCTTTCCCCCGCGCCAGACTCTCTGGAGAGAGACCCTCGGGGCCCTCGAGGACCTGCTGAAGGGCATCCTGCAAAGGCGCATGACCCCCCCGGGGCTGCAGACCCTCTTTGAGGTGGGTGCCGCTGCGGTGTCTTGGGGTGGGAGGGCACACACCCCTTGGGAACGGGGGGGGGGCTGGTCTGGCCCACGGGGGTGCATCCCTGGGGCTCGTATTCTGTGGCCGAGTCTACAGCACATAGGTGAATGCCTCCAGCTGTCTGGGTGAGGTGGCATATGCCCCGCGTGTGGCAACCCTGGAGGCCCCTGGCCAGCCGTGTGCCCTCTGCTTTCTTCTCTGGCTGGCTTCCTTGCTCTGTGGGAGAGCCCTGGGAGGAGGAAGCCCCCAGTGGTCTGGCCGGAGTCTCCTGGCCCCAGGCGGGTTCTGCTGCCCATGTGAGGGAGGGAGGGGGTGGCTGCCTCACGTGAATTCTCTCCGCAGCATCTGGGCCCCTGGATCAGGTCCACCAAGGAGCACGAGCGGGAGCGGGCCGTGGAGGTGGCCGCCGTCGTCCTGGAGTTCTACCGGGAGAAGCTGAACGTCAGTGTGAGTCTGGGGCAGGCCCTGTGGCTCTGCTTGCTCTTGTGACTTGGGGCCGTAGGCTCACCCAGGGCGGGGGCAGAAATGGCACTCTGGGGCTGCAGGTCCCTTGCAGCAGGCGGGGTACCCCACCTGGCCTGGCCGGCAGAGGAGGAGTCAGGGGCGGGGGCTTTCTTGGCCTTGGGGGGGCATTTGCGGGGCTGCCCTGCAGAGCTTGGGCGAGGCCAGGCGGCCCTCGTCGGGGGGGGCCTTCCCTGCCCAAAGCCATCTGCTCAGGCCCTGCCCCCCCCCCCGGCCCTGCTCACGTTCGGTTCTTCTGGCCACACGGGGGATAGTTCAGCACACGTTTCTGTCGCTACAAGTCACGAGAGAATCACGGGATAAGAGCCGCAAAACAATGCAGAATATACCGTGATGGAATTACTAGGAATATATTAATCACAATTCCTTTGCTGCATAAATAACATCAGCTGAGAAAGCCCAATTATGAATCACCGTTGAAGTGCATTTCACAACATCCACAAGTTAGAAAGTCCGGCACAAAATCATTCAGTCCTTCATCAAATTACAGTTCATATTGAGGATCCTCCTGCGTTCTTCTTTAGAGTCTTCAGTTGCAATCCAACTGTCTTACCACTAACTTCCACTTTCACATCCCACAAAATATCATGTAATCTGACACACAAGACCCAACGTATTGTCACGTCTCACGTGCCCTTGCAAGGTGTTTGACAAAGCATTCTGCGAAACTGATTTAAATGCTAGCGGCTCCCTATAGGCACCAGGTATAGACAGGAGGTCTCAGGCTGGGGCAAGGGATGCTCTCTATTCTTGGTGCTGGTGGGGGGGCAACAGTGGGAGGGGTTTCTGGTGTCCTGGCCTGACTGCTGGACCTCCTGATGGCCCCTGGTATTTCTGGCCACTGTGTGACACAGAGTGTTGGGCTGGATGGGCCATTGGCCTGATCCAACACTGGCTTCTCTTATGTTCTTATGTTCATAAGCCGGAACATGCAGTTGTGAGAACTGGAGTTTGGAAGGTTCCTAATGCCTTGGTTGAAAATTACTGTCTGCCTTTGGGAAACAGAAGAGGCAGTGTCCTCACATATGGGAAATTTTGAAAGGGCAAATCACATCTCAATGAGTGGACCTCGTGAGTTGGTATACATGTAAAGATATTAGCAGCACAAGATACTTTAAAGTTGCAACTGAAGACTCTGAAGAAGTAGGAAGAACACAGAAGGATCCTTTATATGAACTGTAATTTGATAAGGGACTGAATGATTTTGTACCAGACTTTATAACTTGTGGATGTTGTGAAATGCACTTTAACGGTGATTCATAATTGGGCTTTCTCAGTTGATGTTATTTATGCAGCAAAGGAATTGTGACTAATATATTCCTAGTAATTTCATGATGGTATATTTTGTATTTCACATTTCTGCATCTGCTGCAATAGAAGGTCTTGCTGGCTGTGCTGCAGGAAAAGGGTTTCCTTTTTTCCAATTGAATGAACTCAGGTTTGACAAAGTTTGAAAATAAAGTGCATAGCCAGAAAGCGGAGAAAGGACATCTTGGGCATATAGAGCTGTTCATCCCCAATTTCGTAGCTATCTAAATGTATAGTTGCAAAGAAATACCAACTGATGGGTGGTAAATAGTTATTGCTGAAGAAAATGGGCACACAGCAACACATATCAGTCTGAGGGACATGTTTATATTGTTCCTTTTGGGAAACGAATTAGGTTGTTTTTTTTAACAAAGCCCCTGCTGCTCACAAAACCCTCTCTGGCTCCCGTCTCCCCGCTCAGACGGTGGTCCCTTTCTACAACCTTGGCCTCCTGATGGCGCTCTTCTCTCCCCGCTGCACGGACTCCCTGGCCAGCATCCGCTGGCGTGCGGTCGACTGCGTCTACGCCCTCCTCTACATCCAGCTGTGCTACGAAGGTACCAAGGAGGGTGGGGGCGGCTGTTGCTGACTCCCCCCCCTTCCTGAGCCCCCCACCAACGCTCCCTCTAAGCTGTAGAGTCTTGTGAGCAAGATTGTGCTTTGTGAGCTACTGGCATTAAGGTTGTGAGCGAGCGACTTGGCTGCTGCATCAATTAGTTTGCTCCGGAGCCATCTTTCCGGAGCCGAGACAAAAATGCGTGAGCTGGAGGCTAAAAAACTATGAGCTAGCTCACACTAATTCAGCTTAGAGGGAACACTGCTTGTAAGCAGTGCTCCCTCTAAGGCTGTGGAGAGTCTAGTGAGCAAAAATTCTGCTTTGTGAGCTACTGGCATTAAGGTTGTGAGCGAGCGATTTGGCTGCTGCACAAACTAGTTTGCTCTCGAGCCCCATCCTTCCCGAGCCGAGACAAAAAGGTGTGAGCCGGAGGCTAAAGTGCTGTGAGCTAGCTCACACTAATTCAGCTTAGAGGGAACATTGCACCCCACCCCAAAGAGCTGCCAGTGCCCATGCAGGGCTTGGCTGCACAGGATAAACTGGGAGGTCTCTTCCAGGCCGGGAAACGGGCGGCAGGGCTCCTTTTGCTTTCACCCTGGGGGTGAGTGGCTGCAGCCTTCCTCTCCAGGTGTCGAGCATTCCCGTGGTGTGCTACAAGGGGGGACGGGGTGGAAATAATGCCCCCCCCCCCAGAACACTGGGTGTTGCCTTCCCCCTTCCCTATGGCCGAGCCTTCCCCGTGGCCAGCAGAGGGCACCCTCTTCCCGTCCTTGGATGGTTCCGGCTGGTCAGCCACACTGGTCTGAAGCAGCAGAATGAATGGAGAGTCCGGTGGCACCTTCAGCCTTGGCTGGTCTTAAAGGTGCCACTGGACTCTCAGCTTGCTCTCATCCTTGGACGGGTCGAGGCCCAAGCGTGGCCCAAGCGTGCCGGGGAGGCGGGGGGTGGTGGGCTTTGTGTGGGGAGTGCTGGAGCAGGGGCAGAGTGGGGGTGCCCTGGCCCCGAGGTCAAGCGGCTGCTCTCTGGACACGGCCTGTGCTGCTGCTCTCCCCCCACGCAGGGTTTTCTCGGGACCACCGAGACGAGTCTGTGGAGAGGCTGACCGCCCTGAAGCCCGGCCTACGGGACCCAGATGTCAACGTCCTCTTCCAGGCCTGCTGCAGCATCGCCAAGGTCAGGCCGCAGCTGCCCGGCCTCCACAGCAGCCCCAGGGGAGTGGGCCGGGTTTTTTTTTTGCCGACTCCGGGTTCGGAGGTGCCTGGAGCTGTGTGGGTGGGGTTAGGGAGGGGGGCGGAGCTCCCCTTCACCGGCAGCTTTCAGGAAGAGGCTGGACGAATATCTGTCAGAGATGCTTTAGACTGGCCCTGCATTGGGCAGGGGGTTGGACTAGATGGTGGTCTGTATGGCCGCTTCCGACTCTGCCATTCTATGGTTCTGTAGCCTTCCCTTCCAAAGCAGCTGTTTCCTCCAGGAGAGGTGGTATAGATGTTTTAAAATAAAGAAATAATAAATAAGCGTAGTCTGGAGAATCAGTCACAATTCCCGGAGATCTCCAGCCCCCGCCTGGAGTTTGGCAAACCTTTGTGGGGCGCTGCTCACCCCGGCAGCGGGGGGGGGGCTCCTGTGCAGGTGGGGAGGGGGCTGGTGTCTCCCTCCCCCTCTCCGTCTGGGAGCGTCCCTACCAGGGCCTTCCCCGTCAACAAGTCCCCGTCTGGGTCTGGGTGGGGGGTTGCGGAGCCCCCTGGCAGCCCCTCGTTCTCTGGGACCAGGGCTGGCGAAAGGCCTGTGCCCGGAGCAGCCTCTCACCTACCCACTGGGGGATCCCTCCTGGGTCCTTGGAGGGAGCTGGAGACCCTGTGCTGGGGTATAAAGCGGGGGGGGGATTTGGAGCTGTTCCCCCCCCTTCCCTGTGCTGCGTGAGTCGTACACCCGTCTTGTTTGGTACCGCTTGAAAGTGGGCATGGGCCTTTGGGCAGTGCCTGCTGGGGAGGGGGGAGGAGTTGGGCTTCTGGGGCTGTAGGGGGGGCTTCTCGGCCGACCAACTTACCCACCCACCCAGCCTCTCCCCTCTCTTCCCCCCCCCCACCGCCAGGTCATTGCCAAGCGCCTGCCCCCCGACCAGCTGCTGAGCCTCCTGCTCTCCATGCTGGAGGGGCTGGCGGATCCCGACCGGAACTGCTCCCGTGCGGCCGCCGTGATGATCAACTCCCTCTTGAAGGAGCGGGGTGCCGTCCTGCTGGAGAAGGTCCGTTTCTCTGTCTCTGCTGGCGCTTCCTCTCTCTTCTGCTCACATTCGGGGGGGGGGGCGGCACGTGCACTCCAGCCCTGTGCGTCTCCTGGGCTTATTCTGATGGGCCCGCTTCTCTCTCCCGGATGGGACCCGAAGCGCCATACAAGATCATGCTCTCTCCACCCCCCCCCCACCAACCCTATGGGGTAGGTGAGGCTGAGAGAGAGAGAGCGGGGCTGGCTCCAGGGCAACCTACTGAGCTTCTCTGGCATGAGTGGCAGCTGGACCCAGTGGTGGACTACTGGTGGCTGCTCTGACCTCGACACCATGCTGGCCTTGTGGGTGTTAGACGAACGTGAGAAAGAGACCTGCTGGGTCAGACCAGGGAGGGTTCCTCTAGCCCAGCCTCCCGTCTCACGCAGTGGCCAGCCAGTTCCTCTGAACGGCCAACAACAGAGCAGAGAGGCCGAGGCCTTCCCCTGATAAGGACACCAGAAGAGCCCTGCTGGGCCAGACCAGGGAGGGTTCCTCTAGCCCAGCCTCCCGTCTCACGCAGTGGCTAGCCAGTTCCTCTGAACGGCCAGCAAAAGGGCAGAGAGGCCGAGGCCTTCCCCTGATAAGGACACCAGAAGAGCCCTGCTGGGCCAGACCACGGAGGGTCCCTCTAGTCTAGTCTCCCATCTCACACAGGGGCCAGCCAGTCCCTCTGGAGGGCCAGCAACAGGGCAGAGAGGCCGAGGCCTTTATAAGACCATAAGCCCTGCTGGGTCAGACCAGTGAGGGTCCATCTAGCCCAGCCTCCCATCTCACGCAGTGGCCAGCCAGTTCCTCTGGAGGGACAACTGCAGGGCAGAGAGGTTGAGGACTTCCCTCCTGGCACTGGGAATGAGAGGCTTACACCTCTGAATGTGGAGGTTCCCTTCGGTCACCAGGGCTACGTAGTCCCTCTGCACCTCTCCTAGAATCTAACCCCCTTTAAATCCATCAATGCCCACGGCTGTCACTATATCCACTGGCAAGGAATTCCATAGTATAATTACTTATTAAGTTTTGTCTGTCCCGAAGTTCAGCTGTTATGGGTGTTTGAAATGGGCCTTGGTTAGGGTAGTCTTAAATATTTTTCCAGGCGTCCTGGAGGGATTTGTTCTCCCTTTTAACTTCCTTCTGACTAGTTCCCTCTTTTGAAATCAGTGTTATTGTTTTGGACCTTGGGGGCAACTTCCTACGGACATGAATGCTGAACACTATTGCCAGCCGGTGCCACGGCCCCATCATCTCTGGCCAGGCCTTGGGCCCCCGCTCAGAATCAAGTCCTGTAGTTGGCTCTGTGACCATTGGTTTGAGTGCACAGTCATTTGTGATGTCTAGGAATCGCAAGTCTACAGCATGACTCGAGCACGTGTTGACTCAGTCATTGGGAAGGCAGTTGAAATCGCCCAGTATCACCTCCCTCATTTCCTTCCCCATTTGACATCTGCGTCCTCATTTTGATTGGGGGTGGGTGATAATACACCAGCCAGTTTGGTGCGGTGGTTAGGAGCATGGACTCTAATCTGGGAGAAACGGGTTTGATCCCCCACTCCTCCACATGCAGCCGCTGGTGTGACCTTGGGTCAGCCACACATTCTCTCAGAGCTCTTCTCTCAAGGGCAGTTTCTGTCAGAGCTCTCTCAGTCCCACCTCCCTCACAGGGTGTCTGTTGTGGGGAGGGGGAGGGAAAGGAGATTGTGAGCCGCTCTGAGACTCCTTTGGGTAGTGAAGGGCAGGGTATATCCAATCTCTTCTTTCCTCTCTTCTTCTGTTTATTGAGAACCAGTTTGGTGTAGTGGTTAGGAGCGCGGACTCTAATCTGGGAGAACCAGGTTTGATTTCCCACTCCACATGCAGCTGCTGGTGTGACCTTGGGTCAGTCACAAGTTCTCTCAGAGCCGTTCTCTCAGGAGCCGTCCTCAAGAGAGCTCTCTCAGCCCCGAGGGCAGTTCTCGAGAGAGCTCTCTCAGCCTCACCTGCCTCAAAGGGTGTCTGTTGTGGGGAGGAAAAGGGAAAAGAGATTGTGAGCCGCTCTGAGACTCCTTTGGGTAGTGAAGGGTGGGGTATAATGCCAATCTCCCCCCCCCATATCTCACCCCTCAGTAATTCCATGGGGGGTTGAGCCCCTTCTCCCAATGTTTCTAGCTTGTTTGACTCCATGCCGTCTTTATTACACCAAGCAAAATGGCCCCCAACCAATCCCTCTCTCACACAGCAAGGCTGCCCCTCCCTCCGGGGGGGGGGCTAATCAAAAGCTGGTCTGCCAAGCAGATCCAGGGCCGCTGGTGTGGAGAAAGCCCTCCTCTCCTCTCCTGGGAGCCAGGGGGCTCTCGGGCAGGCAGAGCGAGGCCGTCCTCTGGGTGTTTTTTTTTGGGGGGGGGCAGAATGCCAGGGGGCTCCAGGCAAGAGCAGCGGGTTCTGGGGCTGCTGAGAGGGCTGACCCTGGAGAGCACAAGAAGTGGGTCTTCAGTGGTGAAACTGTGGTGGATCCGTGGGGCTGGGCGAGGAGATCCCAGGGAGGGGGAGGGGGGCACGATGGGAAGAGGAGCTCTGGGACGATGCGGCTGACTGCAAAATGGTTGGGGGGGGGGAGGTTGGGACTCAGGGTCTCCGGGCCCAGCCAGAGGAGCCTCCCTACCCCTCGGGCTGAGGGGCCGGAAGGGAAAGGGGGTGAGCCCGGCCCAGAAGGTTCCCCAAAGGAGGCAGGAAGGGTCTTTTCTCCGGGCAAAGGAGTGGCCAGCCCAGGGCAGCTTTCCCCCCTCTGGGCCAGCGTGAGGCGCTCTCTGATTAGGCACGGCTTCCTCCAGACACGAGGAGCGCGCCCCCTTCCAGAGAGAGGCTGGGCTGGGCCTCCTGCTGCTGCTGGGGCCCTGGCGTGCTCCCGCCAGGCATCTGATGGGCGCTGGCAGAGCTTGTGTGCGGAGCGGGTCCCCCTGACACTGCTCCCCTCCCCGTAGGTGCCCGAGATCCTGGGGGTGGTGCACGCCAAGCTGTATGAGGTGGATGAGGAGCACGTGCAGAAGGCTGCCCAGCAGACCGTCTACATCCTGGCCTCCCAGCACAAGGCCGCCGTCGTCTCCAGCCTCCTGGCCAACCCCCTGCCGCTGGACAGGTATGAGGCCCTGGGGGGGAGTGGGGAGGGGTGGACACCGGCCTCTGCCGGTGAGTGGGACTCTTGCGCGGGGAGGGGGGGATCGTGTCCCTTGGATGCTTTTTGCCTGCAGCGTCACGCTGGGGCTCTACCCTTGGTCCCGCCTGCGGGGCTGCCCTCAGAGAGGCTGCCGGCGTGCCACGTGGGGCGGCCCTGACGGGGCTCTCCTGCCCGCCTCCTGCAGCTGCACGAGCACCATGTGGCGGGCGCTGGCTCCGGACTCCGCCCTGGCCTCCCAGGTCATGGAGCTGCTGCTGGAGAAGATCAACCGGGACGTCCCCTACAAGGAGAACAAGTCCTTCCTCCGGGGGAGCAGCGCCGAGCGCGTGGCCACCCTCCTCCCCCTCGCCGTAAGTATCCTGGGGGGAAGGGGGGGTGCTGCTTCCTCCACCCCCCCACACACACCTGGGCTGCCGCTCCCCTTTCCTCCGCTGCGGCGGCACCTGTGCCAGGGCTCGGCCTCCCTGCCACCGCCGCACAAGAATGCCTCCGAGTGCTAATCCGCCGGCTCATAAAGAGCCTCTCAGGTGTCCGTTCTCCTGGGAGATCTCTTTGCCCTTTATCCCCCCAAGAAAATAAGCCCCGCTTGGCAGCCCTCGGAGCAAGAAGGCAGCTGTGAAAATTTCCCCCTTCACTGGAGCAGAGGGCAGCGGGTCCCTCCTCCTGAAAG